AAAATCCCCTCCATAAACTAAATGTGATATTGAATGTTTTACTGTTTATTTGCTATGGTCATAAAAATTGACTCATGTATACTTTCTTGCAATTTGAAGAGATCATTCAGGTGTATATGCAAGCTTTGTAATTAGAATATATTTTAATTACAACATTTTCTCTTCATTTCTAATTCTTATAACACCATGAATTTTAATAATGACCATCCACATTAACTGGGTTGTGTTTTCTTTGTGTTTTTTACTTCATAGATGTGCCATCCAGTCCCTATGGAGTGAAGATTATAGAGCTGTCACAGACCACAGCCAAGATTTCTTTCAACAAACCGGACTCCCATGGAGGTGTGCCTATTCATCACTATCAAGTGGATGTCAAGGAAGTGGCGTCAGAAACCTGGAAAATAGTACGCTCCCATGGAGTTCAAAGTGAGTCAGTGATTTCAAAGTGTATTGATTAATTCAAGCTGATCTTCAATATACCTGTATCATTAGCTTTTTTACTTTCCTTCAATATTTTGTTTCTTTCAGTGAAGTGGGGTTGGGAAGACATTCCCACATCAGTAAAAAGCTTGTTTTGGGGATTAAAGTTACTTTTAAAACTTTTGTTGGTGGAAAGAAAATTGCTGACATATTAGATATGACAGCTGGATATTCTGAAATGTGTTCTTGTTTTCCATTTATTAATATTTCTTCTGTAAGTAGATGGTAAAGTCATACTGTAAAATATAGGTTCTTATATATGTATTTATAAAACCATCTATAAAATTAATGCCTACTAATTTTATTTCAAAACTGTTTTTTGAAAATCCACATTTTTACTATAAATCATGTCATTTTGGATAATAGAACTGTCTGATTCTGAGAAGTTAAAACAGTTTACAGAACTTTTTCACTTATGTAGAATTTCATCCTGTTGTGAAAATGTGGTTTGTTTTCTGATTATAAGGAGAGGAAACTAAACTCGAAAATAATAAGAAATTACCAGTGTTGGACTGTAATGGTTAGAACATAAAACTACATTGAGTGGTCAACAAGGGTACCATAAAATAGTAAGAAAATAGTAAGAAGGACCAGTGTCCTTCCTGTGAGTGCTCTGCCTTGACCTAACCCATATGGTATAGAGGTTCAGTAAAAGGCATAAGCTCTCGTGAGAAGAAAAGTGGGAACAATTCCTAGTGAACATGGACAGACAGCAAATGCAAAAATTCTGGTCTTACCTGTGTTGACACCTGCTTGTTCAGTTTTCATTGAGAGTAACTACAGGTTTTTGATAGAAATTTCAGAAACTTTAATTAGTCATCACTCATTTAGCACACACTTCAAATAATGTTCCCAAACAAGTGAGCTTTTATTTCTTTTAATGGTAAAATATTTTGGATTATATTTCTTGTGCACATGCTATGTGGTTCAGGAAAGAAGATTTATAAGGAAAGTGCCCAAAAAGAATGAGCGACTGGGGTCAATGACTATAGAAAAAAAATTATTAACCTGGATGCAGAAATAATGTGTGTTTAAAATTTATTTCAGCTATTTTAAATAGAGGAAACAAAGTAGGGTGGCAGGTGAGTGACACAAAGAGAAAATTAATTATTTCTTACACTGCAGAACACTTGACGTATGTGCTCAAGCAAAACTATAAAGAAAAGTAATGTTAAGTCGGAATAATATGGAAATTAAACATGACACAATACTGCCGCACACTCCTCCTGCCATCCTAGGCAGAAGCTTAATAGACTCTCCCAAGACTTCTTACAAAGTTGCAACACCATGGAGAGTTTATAATGGCCTTGATCTGGCCAAGGTTATCATGTTCAAAAATCTGACTTTGTACCCTACGAATCTACATGTCGGAAGCAGATTTGTATGCTTATAAGACTGACATATAAACACATTTGTTAATATTTAATGACAAATCACTGTCCCAGAAATTAGAATATTCAGAGTCTATATGACAAGTACATTCTTCACCCTCTGGTATAGGAAACAGAGTGTGAATCAGAAGCTTGTTTGATGAGTTTCAGATATGAGCAGGTGAAGTTACATGAATAGTGTGTTTATCTGTCTCTAAGTGGGACAGCTTAAAGCNAATCTACATGTCGGAAGCAGATTTGTATGCTTATAAGACTGACATATAAACACATTTGTTAATATTTAATGAGAAATCACTGTCCCAGAAATTAGAACATTCAGAGTCTATATGACAAGTACATTCTTCACCCACTGGTATAGGAAACAGAGTGTGAATCAGAAGCTTGTTTGATGAGTTTCAGATTTGAGCAGGTGAAGTTACATGAATAGTGTGTTTATCTGTCTCTAAGTGGGACAGCTTAAAGCTTACCAATGAAATCAAAGTATTCAAAGTCTGTGGCTGGGACTTTCTCACTGTTATTTGAGAAACATATCTGCATCAATACTTTTCTGTTTCCATTTCTGACTCTTCTATCACAGATATGTTAATGAATACATTAAGTCAGGTTACAGTCATGTAATCAAACCATTACATGATCTCCTCTCAGTGTGGTACGAACATGATTTTTAAAATCAAATTACTGCTTTAAGCCATTGTTTTCGAATCTCCTTTTTTGTTATTTAATGAAATCTTTGGTAGACACTATAGATTTGTGGTTATCTTCAAGGATTAAAAATAATCCAATTGAGTACTGCACAGCTGAAAACTGATAAAGTCTAATTTAGCACTCACATTTTCTCTGATCCCCATGTCAGCTGGATTCTTATCCTGGGGAGCTGAGAGGTGGCATGAACTATATCGTTTCTTGGAAACAGGAAAGGAGTTAAATACCTGTTATTTTTCTGGTGCTGTAGTTCTCTCTGCCGTCCCTGCCACTTGTGCTGTCTGTGGGACAGGCATCTAAAGTACCTGCTCCCAGGGATGCAGCGTGTGTGGGGTGCAAATATACCAGAAGGCTTTTTGGAGAAGTTTCCTCAAATGGGATGCTGCTTTGCTTGACCTCCTTAGACATCTGGCTTAGTCCGTTTTGTGTTGCTATCACAGAATATGTGAGATTGGATAATTTAGAAAGAAATGAGATTTATTTAGCTCACAGTTCTGTAAAATGGAAAGTCTACCATTGAGCAGCTGCATGTAGCCCAGGCCTCAGGCTGCTTTCCCTCTCAGCAGTAAGTGAAAAGGGAACCAGTGTGTACAGAGAGGTCACATGGCAAGAGAGGAAGGAAGAGAGAGAAGCCATGGAAGCCAGCCTCTTTTTTAACAGCCTACTCCCAGGGAAACTAATCCATTCCCAGGAGAACACACTCACCCTCACAAAGAAAGCATTAATCTGTTCATGAGGGATACACCCCTATTACCCAAACACCTACCACTAGGCCCCACTTCCCAGTACTGCTATACTGGGGATCAAATTCCAACATCAGTTTGGACATAGAAGACAGATTACTCTTCTATAAACAGAAGTCCAAAAGTCCAAATGAGGATGGAAATTCCACACTCTTCCCCCACCCCACCTCCAAAACACACACACAACCCTTCTGCCAAAAAAATCCAAAAAATTCCATCCATCTATTTCAGCTATCTTCATTTACCAGGAGAGGAAGAGGCAACACTGCACCCTGTCCTAGGTGGAATACTCATGAATCCAATGACAGGATTTTCTTCCCCTTCTAGTCTTCTGTTTATATAGAGGAGAGGAGGGTGGTGTACATGGGGTTGTTGCAGTGCTGTGGCTGGGATTGGCAGACCCAGCTCAACTCTTCTTATTCAGCCCTACAGAAAGTGCCTGGCCTCTTCCCAAGTAGTACTTGATGTCTCTTTCTTTTCTTTATGAATTGTCCCATTTGAGAGTTTCAGCATGATGGAAAGATGTCCACTCAATTTTGTGTACAGCTTTCTATTGCTAAGATGGTGCTATTCTTTCTAATTAGGATTAGGTGCACTTTTGTAATGTGATTTCTTCAATCCCAAATTTACACTTTATATCTCAAATGACAATATGATCTCATTTTATACATAAAAACCCATGTTTTTAAGGGTTTCTTAGTATAGTCCCCACATTTGGATAGCAGGCATGAACGTAAACATGTGACTAAAAGGAAAACATAAATGTAATGGATAACCAGGGAGATGAGTTGGGTAACTGCATAGGGACCCTGTTAACGTTCTAGGATATGTATGTCTGGCATTCACTCTTCTTTTAGCAAAGAGAAGTACCATGTTTGTAAAGATATAATGAGGGCATTCATCAGAATAAATGATTTATGCTTACAGAAATATGAAATGGGATGTAACTAGCCATAGTTAGGTTTACTATAAATTAATAGCAAAAATTTGGTTATTGAAACAGGTAACATTGTTTTGACAAACTTTCTACCTTAAGCACACATATTTTCACTATGTTCTTTAAAGTGACATTTCGACCTTACTCACATTTTTCCCCTTGAGCAGGCTTAGGTCCTTTCAGCACTTCCCAGAATTATTTTTTTAACCTGAACCACCTACAATATGCTTTTCCAATCACTCCTTCTTGGAAGTGTTCTCACAAAAATATTCCCTCTTCCTCCAGAATGAGTGGCCAGCAGACAATATCATTTATACTTCTTATGTCATACTGTATTGTATATATTTTAATATGTTATATCATATTATATTGTATCATATTATATTAACTCTCTGATCTATATTTATCATAACTCCCTGGTCTATCTTCTTTCCTAGCTTATAAGCTTCATGAGTGGACCTAGTATGCCTTGTTCTTCTCAGTGTTTCAAATGCCAAAATCATATTAGAGTGGAAGGAATGTTGAAATTTGGAAGAGGTGGGCATATTAGTCCTTTTATGTGTTGCTAAAACAGAATACCTGGAACTGGGTAATTTATAAAGTAAAGAGGTTTGTTTGACTCACAATTCTGGGACAGTACATCCAGTATGGGCTTCAGGCTGCTTCTATTCATGGCAGAAAATGGCGGAGCAGCCGGCAGGTGCAAGGAGATGGCATGACAAGAGGAAGTGAGAGGAAGGGAAGGGAAGGTTCTTTTTAACATCCATTTGTCTAGGGAACTAACAGAGCAAGAACTCACTCACTACTCCCACTCTCACAGAAGGCATTAATCTATTCATGAGGGATCTGCCTCATGACCCAAACACCTCCAAGCACTGCCACACTGGGGATCAGATCTCAACATGAGCCTTGGGGGGACAAAGGTTTGTGAGAACAAGCATATCTAAACTATATCAGGGAGAATAAAAAGGATTGTTTTCTAGCACGTTCTTTCTTTTTTTGTTTTCTGTTTTGTTTTGTTTTGTTTTTGTTTGTCTGTTTTTTGCTAGCCACCTTCTGATTGAGTCTTTATAAGGGAAATGCATTGTATATCTTCTTTCAAAAAATATATGTCTGTAGAAGCAACTTTTAAATGGAGACTCAGGTTCAAGATATTTATTAGGAATCAATACTTTTGAAAAGAGGGAGGAGGAAGCAGAACTGGG